TATATATATATATATATACTAAATAAATTCTTTTTATTTCACATACAATAGTTGTATATTTTCTTGATTATTGATATACTTGGTATTGATATATTGATATACTTAGAACATTAGATTGGATAAAATTATATATTAAAATTTACATAATGCAATGTAACTTGCATTAAGGAAAAAAATGACATAGTTACATAAGTTCGCTAATGTCTGTTTGTATATGAAATGATACAGCTTTGTAATTTTTTATATATTTGGTGTGACAATAATAATGATCTAAATGCTATTATCGAATCTTGTTTCAGTAATTTTTTCTAAAGGAATGAGGACTTTGCATCGTTTTTTTAATTATCTGGGAAAGGTGGCAGGTGCTAGTTAACATAATTTATAGTAATTATGGAAAATCAGAGTCACCAAGGTGAAGCCTATCAAACACATCAGTCTTTTTGGAAAAAGAATACCCGTGCTGTTCCAGGCAGGTATGTACCAGTTACATTATGCTTTCAATAAAATAAACTTATATTTAATATTTAGCATTGATCATTAAATATAACAATAATGTTTTATATTTTACATGTATAATAAAAGACCAAGTCCCAAACAAGATGGTAAGCTTGGTAAAATAGGTAGTACTGCATTGATATCTGGTAGTTCAGCTAATATAATATCTACTAGTGCTGGAACTACATCAGGAAGTAGTGGAGGTTCTACGTCGTTTCAAGATTTTCAAGAAAGTATAGATGATGCTTGGGATTCGGGAGATGATGAGTTTTGCACAGTCTCAGATGTAAAAATATCGAAACGAGTTAGCCAGTCTGCTGCTATCAGTGTTATTAATAGCCATAGATCAGGAAAAACATGCATAGATTCCGGGACAAATGTAAAATCTTCGCAACGCATTCAAGAAATTATTCCGGAGGAAAAACGGGCAGAGGCTCTCCAAAGATTAGCCGTGCAACCGTTACATTTGCGAAATGCTAATTTGTCTGTGCATTCTCAAGTGAATAATAGTCAACATTCCACGGAAGATGCGGATGTAAAGTATGGTGCTTCTCCACAACATAAACCAACGCAATTCCCAGGCAGGCCACAACCATTGAGGCAAACAACCGCGCCTACCAAATTTTTTATACCTTCTAAAGAACAAGGTGCTTATAGAATAATTTGTTACGACCACTTAATTTTAACTAATCCTTAGTTTTGATTTGTTAAAAATTGTAGATGGGGAAAGTAAAGTAGATAAATTTCAGTCCCTTCTGGAAGCTTCTGTATTAAACTTAGACGAATTAAGACAATTATCGTGGTCAGGCATACCAGCAAGACTACGTTCTGTTACATGGAGGCTATTGTCTGTAAGTACGAAATACGTTTTATATCTAATAGTAAAATTTCACCAAGAGTTAAAAATTTTATAACTTTTTATAACTTAGGAGTATTTACCAGCCAACATAGAACGAAGACAGCATGTGTTAGAACGAAAACGATTAGATTACTGGAATTTAGTCAAGCAGTATTACGATACTGAAAGAGATGAAGGGTTTCAAGATACATATCGTCAAATTCACATTGACATTCCGAGAATGTCACCACTCATTTCGTTGTTTCAACAAACAACAGTACAATTGATCTTCGAAAGAATACTCTATATTTGGGCGATTCGGCACCCCGCTTCTGGTTACGTTCAAGTACGTTTATATATATTTAAACTCTCTTTCTCTTTGTACTTTTCTCTTTGTGATTTTACCTTTTTTTTGTTTTTTCTTTCTTTTTTAAGGGAATGAATGATCTAGTGACACCTTTCTTTCTCGTATTCTTACAAGAAGCAGTGCCTGTGTCAGCATGGCAAGATTTAGAAAATTATGAGGTTGCGTCATTACAGAAAGAACAACGAGATATTATAGAAGCAGATAGTTTTTGGTGTTTGTCTAAGTTTCTCGATGGTATTCAAGATAATTATATTTTTGCTCAATTAGGCATTCAGCACAAAGTAAATCAGTTGAAAGAACTGATACAAAGAATTGATGGTTCGTAAATCAATCGTTTGAAATGTTTTGTTTCCTATTTCTTTCTATTGTACTCTGTTTTCGATTAATTACAGGGATAATTTATTCTTTTAGCACCTTTACATCAACATTTACACCAACATGGTGTGGACTATTTACAGTTTTCCTTCCGGTGGATGAATAATTTATTAACACGAGAAATTCCTCTTCATTGTACTATCCGTCTGTGGGATACTTATTTGGCAGAATCTGATCGATTTGCTTCGTTTCAACTGTACGTATGTGCCGCATTTCTTCTTCGTTGGAGACGTCATCTTTTATTACAGCCTGATTTTCAAGTAAGTTTAAATCGTAGTATTAGTATAAAGTATAATTCGATGTAAATCTTCCTTTCAGTTATTAAGTAGAAAAAAAGATGGAGATAGTTTATTATTGTTATTTAGGGACTGATGTTAATGCTACAAAACCTGCCTACTCAAAATTGGACAGATTCGGAGATAAGAATATTGGTAGCAGAAGCATACAAATTAAAGTTCACGTTTGCAGATGCTCCCAATCACTTGCAAGCTCACGACACCAGGTGACCATTTTGCGATGCGTTTAGATAATGATATGAGAATTGCAACAAAGAACACTAGCACAAGTGATTTTGTGCTAAATTGACATGCCTGTTTTTATGGTCATCGTTTGTATTATATAACTCGATGACTCAGGACCAGTTTAGATCGTTTTCTATCTTGCAAGTTATTAATTTTAAGTTTTATTCTCTAGTTCAAAAAGGAAACTATATTTTCGTTACATTTATTTAACGATTCGAATTATTTTTACAAATATTATATTATATATTATATTATCATTACTATTAATATTACTGTAGCAATTATTTTTAGAGTAACTGAAATCTACAAATGAGATTCTCAGTTTGTCAAAAATATAGATGCAATCTGAAGTATGAAAAATGTAATACGAACTGACTGTCACTCACGATTCGTATTACATTTGGATATTTAGAATTATTATATACATCAGTAACAAATAAACAAAAATATAAACCTATTACAATTATATGACTGCTATTTTATCGTGGCGATTACGTATAATACCACAATTACTTTAGTCTACTTGTACAAATTTTCAATTTTAGAAATAGAATTATTTTTTTCCTTTAAACATGTTTATGTATATATATATATATATTATACATATATATATATATATATATTATACATATTATGTAAAAATAGCGCATGGCTTACATTATTTATTTCTATTTCTGTCAATTTTTCATACTTCAGAATATCTTTAAAAAAGGACAGGAATTTAGAATCTCATATCAGAAGAATCTTGACGCAAATGTTTGCCATGTTTATGCATTGCCATAATATTAACATTATTGAAAAAATAAAATGTATGATACTTTATTTTTCGTCAATGTTTCAGTTGATGCCCGAACGAGTGACACTGCGTTTATATACGAGAATTTGATCGAATTATAAAAATATCGGAAGATTTACTTGCTAGATAATTGTCGAGATTATCAACTATGTCGAGAAGGATCAACTGAAAATTGTATAAAAAAATAAAAGATACAAAGTAAGATAGGATAAATTATACTCTTAAGAGTTTCATAAGATAAATTATACTCTTAACGTGTGGCACGGATTATTATTATTTACTCGATGTTTTTTTGTCAATTAAATTTAAAACGGCGTAATGTTTTCTCATTCTTCAAGTTCAATTTTTTTAATTAAAAACTTGTACACACGAAGTGTGTAGCGTCGTCGATTAATAAACGAGACTGTCTCTTTCTTACTTATACATCTAATACATCTCAATATGATATATTCCTTTTGAAGTAAAGTATCGAACCTAGTATTATTTTATAAATATATAAAATTATATTATACTGAACGTATAACATCATATGTGATATTCTTAGATTCACAATACGTCTTGAATACTTATTGTCGAAAGATGTATGTCATATATACATTGGTAACAGTTATTCGATGGAGCAAAGCAAGCAATATAAAATATATAAGGAAAACGAGGAATACAAGTGCTGTTTCAGCTATCATCGATGTCGATTTGGCCGTAATCGATATTCAATGGCTCTAAAGATGCCAGCGAGTCATTCAAATTAAATGTTTCCTGCAAAAAGAAAAGAAACAAACAAATACTGTTATACCATTGAGCCAACGTAGAAGCATAGATAAATAAATAAATTGAAATGGAAAGGAGAAACTTACATAATCAACAGAAACCGGAGTTGGATATATGCAAGGGATACACTCCATACGTGTAACACCACTATTATCAGCGGTGCACTCACAGTTTTGACAAGGATTAGGTTGCGCTGTTAATGCTACCCTCTTGGAAAAAACGCTAGCGAATTTTTTGATCGAAGCCAGTTTATCAAAACGTAATTTATCACCGCTAAATATTGTCCCATTGATCTCCAGAGACAAAGGCGTACAATAACCGAGTGCACTTTTCGAAAGTTTCACTTGCCTTCGTAGATCGACATCACCAGTTAAAGTTCTGGCGTCTTTTTTCGTATACGATTTCGTCGCGTCCAAACCGTAGAAAATCTTGTTCAGCCGCTCTTTCTCGAATTCGAAATCACCATCCATCAATATATGAAGTGTGATATCATGTTCCAATAATACTTCGTGTATCACCGAATAATCCAACTAAAAGAAAGAAATTCTTTTTTAAATGAAGAAATAACAAGATTGATCTAAATAAAATTTAAAATATCCTGGGAGGAGATGATTCAACACACGAATGCTTGTCAGCCTTTTTTTTTTCTTTTATTTTCTCAATGACAACTGAATTAATCTTTAACTGGACTGGTGAGGTTTAACAGATGTCAGCCAATTTAATTTTTGTTAATAAGAAAATACTCTTTTGTATTATATAATGGTTTCAAAGTTAAAGGATAAAAAATGATATGTTTTGTTTTATTTTTAATTTAAAAAATATAGACTTTTTTTATATGGGACTCTGACAAACCTCACGTAACCGACTATGTGATTCTAAGGCATATGTCTTGCAAATCAAAATTTTATAGAAAATTTAAAGTCTAATTAAAATAAATTAACTTTGAAATATATAATTTCAAGCCAAATAAAATAAAGTAAATTGAAATTAAACGGCTTATTTAGTGGGAATAAGAGATTATTTTTAAAAATATTTTAAATCAACCAAATTACAATTTCACCGGGATGAAAAGATTTCAAGATACTCGAATTTAAGTTGCTTGAACTCAGATTTGAATCAGATTGAAATCTTGATTAATTCGAGCAAAGCTTCAGCCTCAAAGAAATGTTTCACTTTATATTCCAAAAGTAATATTTTAAATAATTTTGACAATATTTATTTGCTGTACTATTTCTTCTTTACTTGCCGTTACCTATATGAATTAAATTTCTTTTAGATATCATTTCCAGAGAGGAAGATGTTGCGTGCTACATGATTTATATCTTTCAAATACATTGCAAGACTACCATTCTCTGCCCACGATATATCCATCAAATTGAATCCATTTGCAAGAACATCCTCAAATTACTTACTGTCTGATTTTCCGGCTCGCAGTGCGAGCAGGGCATCAAAATGAAAGTCTTCGACACACCGGCCCTGAACACGAGTTTCGAGGCAAACGCAATTGCTGCGAAAATATCGCGGCTCCCATCGCCGATTGGCACGTGATCAAAGTAATCGATAAATCGTGCTACGTTCTTAGTGAAGAGTTGACCATCGAAGACGATACTCCGCGGATGATCGAACACTCCGTCCGCCCCGAAGGTGACCAGAGACCAACGATTGTCCATCAGACCTTGATCTTTGAGCTCTTTGCTCAACTGAGTGACCAATTGTTCGACACTGCGATTCTCTCTCGCGCCGCGGTTGCATTCCTTCCCTTCGACTATGAACACCACATCGGTCGATCTAGGTACCCGATCGCCCTCCAGTTTCGTGAACTGACCTTCCGCAATTTGATCGCCATCAATCATACTGCAACTACTACATACGTCCGGTATTCTGAGGTACGTGTCATGGAACATGCAAATCTGCATGTAAGACAAAGCCACCGTGCACGCTTCCGCTCTAGTTTCGCTTGCGGTACACATTTTGGAATATTCCTCCGGCTCTATTATGTCGAAGCAGCCGAGGAATTCAGAACTCTTGTTCACGAACAGATCGTTACAAAATTCCACAACCGTGAAATTGCCTTGTGACTTTGATGTCGCGTTCGTCGTCTCGGCGGCCGTTTCAGCCACATGAGAATTACTTGAATACGAACAACGACCACTGGCTTCTTCATCGATTGACCAACTTCCGGCAAATGCTTTCACATCTTTCGTTACGATTCCATTCGATGCGGTGGTGTCGTCCATTGGCTCGTAGTTCATCGTTCCGAGAATACCGGCTGTTTTACCGTGATACCAACCGGATAATTCCAAGGTGCACAGGTCGAATTTCAAGTTGCATTCGAGTCGGAATTGATTTCCCTTGCGCTCCACGGTGACCACGCTCTCCGCTTGGTAAACGTATGTAGTTCCGTTTTCGAGTTCAATTGGAAGTACGACATTATTCGTTGTGCCGGATGACCGGTTGGAAATGAACTTGATAGACTGCAAAAAAGGCAAACGCCATCATTAATTAATTGTTACTTCACTGAAAGGAGAGAAAAAAAAAAAAAAAAAAAAAGATGAAGGATTTGCTATATCTTTTCCTAGGAAAGCAAAAGAATATTCGATACGATAATTAATTTCTATTCGAAACAGAAATTC